AACGTCAGATGGGATTGGCCGCCGCCTCGTTGGACACCAAATCACTCAGGGGTCTCAACATAGTTTACCTGGGGCAGGTTGTTTGTCGACTGAGGTCACCATGCACTCGCCTGAAATCATGTCTTACGCGAACATGACAGCAGCTGGCAATGCCAGATATGCAAAGAGGCACGGCTACGGCTTTCACATCCTCGACCACGTTGTTGACCAGTCACGAGTCCCTCACTGGTCGAAGATCCACGCCATTCTGAGCCTGGGCTTTTCGGGTGTTTCCGAAATTTTCTGGATAGTTTGTTGGAGGTTCATACAATAATTAGGGGTCCTGGTGTCGTTCAGGGTTTACAGGAAGGTCCTTAGAGCCGGAGAAGCTCGGCAGCCCTGCTTCTCTGTTGTAATGCTAAGCATGATGCGTTTTGATGAAAGCCCAGGATTCATTTGGCAGATTATGACTTCTTGTTTTGGATCGATGCAGATGCAGTGGTGTATGACCAGGCACAGCAGTTGGAGGAGGTTTTTGATATCGATTCCTATCCCAATGCTCACATCTGGGCACAGGACATCTGGCCAGACTTCCCTGCGATGCAACGGGAAGAGCTAATGGATGGAGCAACGGTCTTGTTTCGAAATAGCCCATGGACACGCCAGTTCCTACTGGAGATGTACCACTTCCCCGAATGTCAGGACTACCTGAACTGGACGGAGCAATACTGCCTCACGGTGGCATTCAAACACAACCTATTAGACGCAAGGTCGAAGATCGTCGTGCTGCCAACCCCGCGCATCAACCACCACCGGATTCCCTCTGCCGCGGAAAACCGGAGCCTTTTCGTTTTTCATTATGCTGGAAGGTCGTCAATGGCCCGAACCCGGCACTTCAAGCTGCTGCATGAGGGATTCCAAGATGTCTTCCAACAAGATCGCTACAAGCACTTCTGGAACTTCCACGAGCTCTTCCAGAGGCACAACTTCGGTGGATTAGCCTCGGTGCAGTTGTGCGTCTTCGGAATCGGGGAGCGACATCAAACCTTCTTAGAAGGTATCCTGTTCCACTTCCCCTACCTCACGGGCTTTATCGTGGTTCTGCAAGGAGCTCCGGGCCTCTTTTCCCAGATCCCCGGCTGCCTTTGTCATATCTTCCCGTCCAAAGGCCCTGTTGCTTGGATAGCTATAAGCTCATCCTGCTTTCCGCCTGCTTGTGCCTGTGTCTCTGAAAGGATGAAGAAGTCGGACGAGATCGGTGAAATGTTTGGCACGCGCATGGCCGCCATGGACATCCAGGAGTTTCAGCTCGGGCGGACACGGGATGGGAAGGAGTTTGTGAAGAGCTTCTTCTGCGACCTCCTGCTGGTTGGAGTTGAGAGTTGGAGGCATCTTCCTCAGGGTGCTCCGGCTTTGGTGCCCTTTGTGACGGGAGGATTGGAGCCCTTTTCTGGGAGAAGGGGGACTGGCTTCGGTTACTCTGCTCTCAAGGATGCTTTCTTCGTCTTGCTGGACGACGGCTGCGAGGGCCGCTCACAGGCCATGAGTGGCCGGGGTATGACAGCCAGCAGGGGCACCTCCCTTGACAAGGATGACGAGACAGGTGAGGACCTGGCCGCAGCCTGTCAGTTCATGGATCGTCTCCACAATTCCCTCGCCGACGTGATCGGCCAAGCCCGAGAGCATAGCGAGCGTTTTCTGAACTCCGACACGGACCTCTTTTCGCCCCTGGCTGCTGAGAAGAGAGAGAGGACGGGCGTCGGAAGCCCACTGATCCGGAGTGAACCCGACACCTGGGGTTCGAAGATGCTTGGGAAGGTGACGATTTCACGAGTCCCGCGGCTGGCTTTCGTTAATTAACAATGGTCGGCCATACCATGCCATCTGGTGGCGGCGGCGGAGGTGGCGGTGGTGGTGGCGGCAGTTGATCCTTCTGGGTGCTTTTCTGGCAGCACCTCCGCCTCCTCAGCGGAATCACTGATGACCGTGGATGAGACGAGCACGCACTGCAACATCTCCGATCGTGGAGGAAGAGGACACGCGGCCGCTGGATTCGAAGCCCATCCGTCGACGGCTTCCGTTCTTCCCGCGATGTGACAGGCGGTGATCGACCAGCATTGAGATCCGGTGGTGCCAGAGGGATCTCAAAGAGGACAGGAGCAACAAAGCAAGATGGAACAGGTGAAATTTCAGTGTCCTTTGATGTGATTTTCGCAAACGTAGGGTGGGAAAGACGGCAAATGGGAGTCTTGCATGCTCGTGAGTTGTTTCCGTGTTCTCCCGGCGCTGTAGGATTGACACGGAGGCGTACATCCAAGAAAATACAAATAAAAGATATCACTTGCTGCAAGATTTTCCAGAAACCAAAACTCTGGAGCCAGACCGTCAGCCCACACATTGTAAGGTCCGAGATGACTGAGCCGCAAAAGCAACAGACCGTCGGGAGCTTGGAGCGTCGTGTCGGGGGCACAGCCCCACAGTTTTGGAGTATACAGGCGGTGGTGCAAGCTCGATTCATACACAAGGGCTTCTGACTGAAGTCATCGTCTTTACTTGGTCTGCTGCTCGCTGCGACCAGGCAAACTGGCCTGAGACCTGCCTGGATACAACCTGTAAGACTTGATATTTTGGCTTATGCTGCTGACCCAACTGTTCCTCGTCGTCCTGTATTGATTCCTGAACGTCCATGTGATGCTATGGTATTTTGTGCTGTCGACTTGCTCGAAATTCTATTGCTACTATAATATATCAGAATATAGTTTGTTACAATACAGTATATGGCATATCATTGTATTGTTTCGAGTATAGTACAGCATAGTACTTAGTACAGCACAGTATAGTCTAGTCTAGTACAATATAGAGGATCTCCAAGCGGCAGGCGCCTAGCAGTCCTGCGGGTGCAGCGCGGGAATCTCAGGCAGGGACGCTTGAGGGCGAGGGTTCGTTCGTGTCGTTCCTCAGACTTGCCGGAAGATATTTCAGGCTCCGCATCACGTCCGATTTCTTTGCAGTCTGTTTTGGAAGTTCGCAACTTGCCTCACAGTTTCAGAAGATACTGCGACGAGTGCTCCGTGGTTCCTAGAGTCCCTTGACAGAGGAGGTGGCTGCGCCGAGCGCGCCTCCGACAGACACAGAGCGGAGGCCTCGGTCAGGCCAAAAAGCTTGCAGTGTTCTGACGATATTTCCCATTCGTAGGCCGAGCAGGCTTTAGCCACTGCAGGGTTCAAAAAAGAGATGTGGTGGCCGATACCCGGTCTCCGAGGCCCCGTCTTGAACAGGATGAGAATCCAATCCTGGAGTGGCGTTCGGATGCCGTGGTGGGTCAACAGCTGAGGGGAGGTGTTGTCCTGCCGTGTTGCGACCTCGACAAGTGATAGGTTCTGTATGCTGATGCCTTCGAGGTTCAGGCACCGCCATCTGAAGTTCAGGTGTACAGTATAGGGATCTAGACAGTATAGGCTTTACAGCATCGCACGTCCGGCAAGGGCCTTCTTGAAATTTCGCGAAGGATACTGTGGAGGGCAGGTGAGCTGCAGTTGCAGCCTCTGCCCTCCGTGCTGCGCTTGCGATGGTTCCGACAAGGCGGCGGCAAAGTCTGTCGCATAGAGATTAGTGTCAGAGCAAGTACCTCGAGGAGCTGAGCCGAAATCAGGAATCCCCCCCAACTCTTTTTCATCTTCGACTCCTCCTGGTGAGCTCTGACGCTGGCAAGTGCTTGTAAGGGCATTGCCAGCCGTGGTCTGGCCACCAGAGCCGGTCCCGCAGGGTTGCCGCAAGAAGCGGTTATCTTTTTCCCAGGTTGAGGACGAGGATCAAAGGTTTGTCTGGCCTTGAAACCCGTACCGTGGGATTGGACCACAGCAATACGCTGACCTGATTTTATCATGTCCTGCTAAGTCTTTTGCTTGAAGACGAGACTTTGAAATGCAGTCCATCCTTTGAGAGCTCGATTCCCCCTCTACTTAGACCGCTGCCTGATCTATCATGATGCATTCCAACATTTAGATGCTCTTGTTATGAAACGATGCCGGGGAGTGCGCTTAGAATTTGAGATGGCGGCCGGTATGGCAAACTTGCTCCCGTCTCAACCGTACTGCTGCTGCTGCTGCTCCTGCAGATAATTTGTTTTCTGATGATATCTGCTACACCAGCTTGCACCAGAATTATGTACTCTGCCGCGAGATGTGAAACGTAAAGTGGTCAAACATCTCGCAGAAAGGCCGAGTTGCAGACGTGCCTGTCCATGCGCTCCGTGCAGTGCAGCTGCCACTTTTGAGCAAGACTGCTTGTACAGTGGCCGAGCCCATGTTCGTGGGAAACCGCAAGTGAGGCGTTTGCTACTGTTGTTTATATACATCCTGCATTACCTTAGGACTCTACACTATGGGCATTATGGTATATTCCTGATTATGGGTAATGGAGGATTTATATCATCAACCGTACTATGCTTGATTCCGCTACATCAGAGAAACACTGGGCTTCGCCATTCCTGGCATCCGAGCTGATGCTCCGAGCGTGTGGGTTTGGCTCGTGTGTGCAGCTGGCTCATCCATGGGGCAAAGAGGCGGACGAGGAGACTAAGAGTGTATTCATGCGCTTGGAAGTTCTTGTGTCTGCTACCAGTCAATTGCTGCAAGCGCTGTTGCATCTCTCAGCACAAACACCAAACCAATTCCTAACGACATGTGATTCTGGAGATGTTTTGGTTTTGTATGCGTCTAGTCGGCCGTCGAGGCATGGAGATTTTAAAGGGTTGCTTCAGATATCAATTGTCAGTCTTATTACGGGAGGACCGCAAGTTTCAATATATTGCTTTGGATCAATGGGCCATGGGGCTTGTAGTCTTCCCACTTGCAAAGTTGCTTTCGACGTGATGTGTTCTGACCTCTAAACCATGGAGAAGTACAGTGCACAGTATTAGAGCTTGTTTTCAATGGACATGATGCAGGTTTAGTCCTTGAGGCTTGCTTCCAGCCTGTAACTGTAACAGAAGGTAGTCCAAACCCTTAGAAGCACTTAGAATGTTTCGGTTCTGCTCAGAAACAGGCGCTAGCGCCTCTCAGCTGGAAGCTTGTGTCAAGTCAGGCATTTGTCAGTACAGGTTATTGGTTGTGTTCTACAAAATGATGCCAGCTGGGATTCTGCCGACAGTTGACGACTGACAAGTGCCCCAGCCACACCTGCTTGACTAGGCCCGGCCAAGGGCAGCAGCAAAGGCTGAAAGCCTCACTCGACCCGTGCTCCCCCAGAAGGGGGCTCACCGTTTGGATCGAGAAGTGGCCGTAGGACCCACGGGACTCCGTGGTCGACTATCCGCTTTGAAGCCGCGACGAACGGTCGAGAGTAGTCGAGTAGTTTACATTCACGGAGACCCGCGTGCCTACTCTGGAAAACGCCCCGTTCCTGAAGGGATGATGGGGTGGAGGATGTCTGAATGACTCGCTTTTCCCCATCATCCTTTCGTTTAGAACCCAAGCCCTGAGGGTAGGCCGGCAGAGCCCGTCCATACGAAGCAAGGCCCGGGCCCTAGAATGTGCTGAAGTCTGCATTTGCGAGTCCTACTGGTTGTAGAACTGAGGTGCCGAGTGCAGACTGCAACATTGTGGACGGACTGGTGTTGGCTGCTTGTCCTGACAGGACGCGGAAGGTCGGGCTAGGACCATTGGGTCTCGCAACTGAAAGTCTGGAACCAAAGAACCCCCGACAAATTGCAGGCGAAGGAAAGCAAAACAGCTTCACCGAATGCTGAGAGTTCTGGTGTCTTGTGATGTGCTTACTTGCCATAGGTCTCAATTGAGGACAGAGATCCCAGAAAGCGTGCCAGCCGCACACGTGCACCTGCATTCCCAGCTGTTTGGCTCTTTGCAGACTTGCTCTGCAAGCCCCCTCTTTTGGCCGTGTGCATTCTCTCCGTTCCATCCTCAGCGGGAGAAGGGCATGGGAATGTTAGCACAAAGCTGGCAAATCGACGTGGCACGATCTACGTGCATGCTCATGAGTTTTTCCTTCTGAGCTTCTGAGGTTACCTCTTGTCAGCCATGTCCGCTCTCAACGTCGAGCTTGCTTTGTGCCATGGCTGAATTGATCACGATGTGTAAAAGGAGCACAACTTGCATTCCTAGCATACAGATTTGGCCCTGCAGCCGCTCCTGTGAGGTCTCATCAGTGCGGCGCCGTGGTGTTGGAGAGCGACATGTGCAGCCGAAGTAGTAGCACCTTGCCGGCATGGCACGTTCTGCTGCTTTCCCTAAGCCACGGCAGCATCGGGTCCGTGGACCGCCGAATCCGCGGCATTTTGCACTTTCTGCTCTGTATTAGAATTCAGGTACACGCGGATTGTTCGGATGGTGGGACCACAGCCAGGATGTAAATTAGTCCCTTCATGGCAAGCTCTCCATTCGGGCACCGAGCTATAGGCGGAACTGGGGCTGGAAGACTTTGGCACGGCAACTCTTCTAATTCGTCATGAGTCGAGAGCAGTTTCGTGTTTCGGACTTAATGGATGGATGATCACTGCGCATTTAGTCTACTGGCATGTCACTGTAGCTGCGTCGAGAAATAACTAGCCCAGGAGTCGATAACCATATCTCGGTACCGAATCGCCACATGTCTCATGTTGGTTGGTGACCCCAATGACATTTGTTATTCAAGCCCGCCTGGCCCATCTGCTTTTCTTGCAGGCAGTCGAAGTAGTAGCAGCAGCGGGATGCTCAGTTCGGACCTGCATGTTGCAGAAGGATGTGTTCCTTTCATGCAAGAATGCCACAGCTGCATGTGAGTAACCACGTCTCAAGGCCGGACGACTCCGAATCGACTTCCGACCGATACCTTCATTCGACTATTCTAGCCAATCATCATTGTAATTGCTCTGTACCAGCACTTTCGCAACTGCTGCTGCTGCACGTGCACGCCAGCACCCCGTGGAGGCAGCAGTAGTGGTGGTGCTGCTGGTAGCAGTAGCAGCAGTAGTAGCAGTGCCCAAGATACCGGTAACAATTGTATTGCTTAGCACTCTTCAGGGCGTGCCTGCTTCAAATCGCACTTCTCAGCACTGGGACATCAAGTTTAGCCCAAGACATCAGCAACAATTCTTGACATTCGGGCAACAATTCAAGCCCGAGACACCGGCCACAAATCGTACTTCTTCGCACCAGCACACCATTTCTACCCAGGGTAGGGGAGGCGTGCGGGTAGCGGCAGGATGAGGATGGAAGGGTGCTATTTGGTTGTGCCACTATCAACAGAATCTTCAGCTCTTCTCGAAGAGGCTCGCTGCTTATTGGCCTTTGCGTTGCCGGAGCGCTTTGACGAATGGCATCTTCCCAAGGTCGGAGTAGTAGCAGTTGCTGACTGCATACTCCGACATGGCCGACACCACGGGTGCCAGGATCCCAGCTTTGATGCCCTAAGCTTGGGCTCTGCGACAGATTCATATCGTGCGAGGTTGACATGCCGCACTCCCTGCAGCCAGCTCGAGCCCTGGCGGAGGGGTCGAAGAGCGATCTTTTCTTTGGGGGCAGCAGGATCGTTCCCGTCGAGCTGTCCTGGTCTGTCTCGAGACCTGTGCCAGTAAGTGCTACGTGAGCATGGCCTACTGAGTTTGCTGCCGATGGCTTCTTTCGAAAATGCTCGATGCTGTCTCCGAAGTATCCAGACAGCAGCTCCTATCGGTTCGACGGTATAGAGATTCTACAGATTTAGCAAGACGGTACATGCTTTTCTCATTGCTGACTGTTGTTGACAGTGTTCAAGCAACAGGCTTCAAGCGAACCTCCGGAACCTCCCGACGGGAAGGACAACAAAAAGCAAACTGCAAATCAGCGGCCGAAAGCAGAAGAAACGTGCTCGAAGGGACCTGGAATTTACGCAGCAAAATACCTTCGCACTGACCCATTGCTACCCTTGCTACTCTGCTGATTTTCAGGCCCGCCCCTTCCGCAAACAGGGGCTGCAGCAGGGACTGCAGGGGCCCTGGACTTTTTGGCCGACCTTTGCCAGTATTTCGAAAGCCCAGCCAGCACTTTTCCGGCGCCTAGGGCAAACTGGATGGCCACTGTTCTCAGATCCATGCTGCAGGTCATCTGTCGGCTTCGGCTTAAAACCTAGTGTCGTCGCAGCTTCTAAACCCTAAGCCCTAAGCCGCCCGCCTAAACCCCAAACCCTAAGCCCTAAGCCGTATTTCGGAAGCTGCCTTTCGGAGCCGAGGGCTCGCATGGAATCTCGAAGCCCCGATACCCCCCAAACACCCGAAAGAAGCCCCAAACCAGCCTGAAAAAAAGCTCTCCGGAATCCTGCAGCTCCTTTGAGGCCCGAAACCCCCGTAAGCCCGTGAGCCCGAAACCCCCGAAGCCCCGGAACCCCTAAACCCCTGAACTCCTGAACCCCTCAACCACGCAGCGCCTAAATTTGAACCCGAAGCCCTAAAGCCCGAAACCCTAAACCCTAAACCAAAGCCCAGGACCCGCCTACAACTGCTCTTGGCCCGGCTCCCGCAAGAGCACCGCCCAGAGCCAAGAAAGGAAAGCGATGAGGCTTTGCTCTAAGGGTTCAGGAATTAGGGTTCAGGGATTTAGGCCCTAAACCCTAAACCCTCAACCCTAAACCCCCTAAACCCCCTAAACCCTAAACCCTCAACCCTAAACCCTCAACCCTAAACCCTCAACCCTAATAGGGTTTAGGGTCTGCTCTGAGCGTTTGGTTACCGTGAGAGCCTGTGCTTGGCTTCAATGGCTGCTTCACCTGAAGTTTCAGCTTTTTTTGGGATTTGGTCGAGGGTTCTCTTGCGGTGTTAGTCTTTCGCATTTCAATAGTTGTTTGGGTTTAGGTTTAGGGGTTCTTGGTTTAGGGTTTTTGAGCAAGTATTGGGCCGTGTGCTGACCCTAATACCTTTCAGGCCTTTCAGGTCCAGGTACACCAAGAACAGCAGAACTCCGGTCACCAGTCGTGTTCGTGACCGAAGCACTCGTGATCATAGCTACGCCACCACCATAATCGTCATCATCATCGTCATCACCACCACCGTCATCGTCGTCATCATCATCGTCACCATCATCACCACCATCATCATCTTCATCATCCTCATCGTCATCGCCATCATGATCATCATCGTCATCACCACCCATCATTATCATCACAGTCCTGATCTTCCTCCACCTCCACCTTCTCCTCCTCGTCCGCCCCCTCCTCCTCCTCCTCCTCCTCATCATCATCATCATCATCATCAGCGTCCTCGTCGTCTTCATCTTCAGCATCATCATAGTCATAGTTATAACCGTCAATCTCGCCCTGTGCAGCAGCCCTCAGTCATCTTAAGATCTGTGTGGCTGCAGCTTCTATTCTTGATTCGCGCACGTGCTCCTCACGTACACCCGCGACCCAGTGCTTTCTGTGGCGTGCGTGTGACTTCCCTACGGATTCGCGGCCAAGGTCTTCAAGCCTTGCAGTTTCTCTCGGAGACACTGCGCCGCTCCTTGCTGACACACAGCCGCAGCAAGGATTAGTTGTAGCAGCTTCAAAGATCCCTCAGGCCCCTCAGGCTTTTGCCGGCTGCATGTCAGTTTGCGTTTGACAGTTTCGCCGAGGAAACATATGGAGCTGCAGCACATGCAGGGCTGGAGGACGTGCAGGGCTTCAGTTTGGCAAGAAAGGTGTCTTGCTGGGCTAGCGATGCGCAGGAGTTACAATAACCGCAAGCGCAAGCGTGAGAAGTCAGCGAGGGAGCCTCTCGGCAGAAAATTGATTGAACGCGTCAGGTTTTGGGTGAGGGTGGCCTCTCCTGGTTGCAGATCTGAAATTCTGCATTTTGATTAACTGAGCTCTCATGCGACTGTCACCGTGCAATCATGACAGCAATGACAAGCGGTGACATTGAACCGCTGCCCTTGATGTTGCATTTAAATGTAGGCGGGCCGTTTTTGCTTCGTAGTCTTTCTTCCGCTACAGAGTCGGTCAGGGCGCTGTCTGGTTCGGTAGAACATCATTATCCTGCTAGTCTTGCTGTCGTCGATTGGTCGCCGCGTAAGCGTTGCCGCTGCTGCTTCGGCTGTATTTGTATATAACTGTGTTTTTTGTTTGCTTAAGCTGTTGTGTCGAGTTTGATGTGCTTGTTCCTGGGCGTGTTCTGCTTGTTAGCTACCGTTGCCCTTGGTGTCTTGATCGTCTACGGCTCTTGTTTGAGTCGCTTACCCTTCTTCCCCTTGCTGTATTCTAGTCGTGGCTATTGACATGGCAGAAGCGGTGACAATGGGGTCAGCGCGGGTACAAGGGAAATCTGCGTAAGGCCTCGCCCTGCAAAGAAGCGGAGTGCGAGAAGCCTCGTCACGTTCGCCAAGGACCATGGGGGCGCGGGGGGGGGGGGGGGNNGGGGGGGGGGGGGGGGGGGGGATTTGAATTTCTTGATGACGTGAAACAGACACATTGGTGTCCAGAGAAGTTCTGAGAAGCGTGTGCAAGCGAACCGGGTACATGATTGGAAATACCGGGCTGAAAAGTAGCCTACGGCTTTCAAGTCTTTCCGGGGCATCTAGGATGCGAGACGGTGTTAATCTTTGAGCCATGGTTCGCGTGTCCGAACTACGGCTTGGACCCACCCCCTGTGGGAGCATCAGTAGTAGTAGTAGTAGTAGTAGTAGTAGTCGAAGTCGTGGTCGTCAGCATGACGTTGTGGTGGTGGTAGCAGCACTGGTGGTACAGTAGCAGAAGTACTAGAAGCAGGCGCGGAGGTAACCGTAGTCGCAGTCGTCGTCGTCGTCGTCGTTGTCCTAGTAAGACCAGTGGTGATTCTCAGCAGTACTAGCAGGCTCTCTCGCTGCTCAGTGCCCTGATGGCTCTGTGGTTGGCTTTTCTGGAACCAATGTGGAGTCTAGAGTGGTGATGATGCACAGCAAGAAGATCCGACTCCATGTGTTGGACTACCGGACTATCTCGAGTAAACACTAGCAAAGTCTTCAGTTCTACCACGGTGCCCAGAAGACTTTCGACAGTCGGTAGTAGGGGCCTGTTGCCTCACCCGAACTTGCACTCCCAAAGAAGAACGATGCAGCGTTGTGTCCCGTGCAGAGCTTGGGTGTTTCCGACATGCAAAGGGCGCATGCTGGATGGCCCACGGCGAAGCGACTTTGGTTGGACAGACAGTAGGGGTGAGGAGTTCCCAGCGTAGACGGCAATTGTGGGGCCTGGAGACTGAATGTGTTCAACAGCCGCAAGCGTGCTGGGCACACAGAAGCCTGGGCATCGCCTCGCACGTCCATGACTAAGCAAACTTAAACGCAGGTCCAAAGGACTGCTTAGGACGCTACAGCTTAGGATAGCTGCAAAGCTGAGTGGCTTAGCCTTCGGCTTGGACACAGCATGATACCTGTAGGAGAAGCAGAAGTCAGGCCCTGGCCGCATAGACCTCAGTTCCTGTGTGTGGGGGGGCCTTGCGGCTTCACAACTTCGGAGATCTGTTGCAGGGGCTCTGGGCAGCACAGCCGAACCGTTACTCACATGATGGAGAAGCACGACTAATATAGCTCGATCCCGGAAGAATGTTTGACGCACAGACAGTTCTCAAGCTCGAAGCCGCCCGCAACCTTCCGGAAGCGCCGCCTCTTCTGCCTTTGTCCCCCGAGTCGCTCCAGGTGGAATCTGCATCATGAGATCCGGGAATGGTGTCCGCGTGTGTTTCTCGATGCACCGATTCTGTTTGATGGTGGCCAAGGAAAGGAATTTGGTTCGAGCCTCCATGTCACCGAATCCAAGGTTACTTTGCCAGGGCCATCATCGCTGGAATTGCGATCTCCTCACACTGTGCCTCTCGGCACGGGAAGAGGTATGATCTGCCGCGCCATTCGTCTGGCCCTAGAACTCAAACCCCATATTGAGCCGGGTCCAAGATGACCCTCCTGACATGTGGTGCAGAACAGGTTCGAGGTGAAGAAGAGGCCAAAGCTCTGAGGGACTTCTTGGACAAGGCCCCTCTTTCTGCCTCGCTCTGCTTTGGGGACGCAGGCCTTTGTAGAGTACAGGGTTTCGGGGCTTTGGGACCCGGCAATCTCCCTACAACTTCGGCCTCAAACCCCAGCAATATGGGGCTTCAGGGCTTCAAGAGCTAACAAAGAAGCGATACTGGGAGTAGCAGGTGTCCTCTTCGCGCTGGCAGAGCTTGATGGAGTCGGACCCAGGAGGTCTCCAGCTCACGGTGTTCCGGGTTCAAAGCGCTCTCAACTCTTCAGGGTTTGGCTTTTCAACGTGCAGGCTTGAGTTTGCCCCAAAGATGTGGCTTTGTCGACTGCTTTCGGCTCTGAGCTTTCCTGGTTTGGGTTTCTCGATGTCAGGTTGGGGGGGTTCTTGTAGCTAAGGCCATGGCCCAACCCCAAACCCGGGGGTTTGGCCCACCCAAGCTCCTGTCGGGTTGAGGGTGTGGCGGATATTTCCAAGAAAATTCACAATCTATCTCTGACGTCCGCACTACTTCAAAGCCCCGCCCACTAGGAGAACTCCCCACGTCTGCCCTTAGAAAGCCCAGCTTACGAAGAGACCTGAAGCCCCCAAATTCAAGCCCCACCCGGGTCCTGGCGCCTATGCTGTCCTGAATCGAGTCCCGAAGCCCAGAGCCCTAAACCGCCTAAGCCCAACACCCAAAACACAAAACCCAACACTTAAACCCTCAAACCCAGAAACCCCAGACCCTGAACCCAAAAACTGGAAACAACCTAGACCCTAAACTCGAAACCGCCCAAACCCGAAACCCTAAAGCTCGAAACAACCTAGACCCTAAACCCTAAAACTCGCAACAGCCTAAACCCCAAGCCCGAACGACCCAACTCCCAGGCTTCGGGCTTCGACCGGCCTTCGAAGGCCCCTGCCAGGCACCTCCGGTGATTTCTTCGATCTCGGGGATGCCTTGGTTGAGGGTTTGGGGTTTTCGGGTTTCGAGTTTTAGGGCTATACGGCTAGGGTTTTAGGGTTTCGAGTTTTTAGGGCATTCACAGCTTTTAAGGGTTTAAGGGTTTAGGGTTTAGGGTTTTGGGCTTGAAGAGGTTTTTTGTTTAGGGTTTTAGGGTTTTGTCTTAGTCTGAGAGGTTGCAGCGCCCTGGAGAAGCGGGGTTTAGGGATTTCGGCATTTAGGCTGTTGAGAATGAGGGTTTAAGGGCTATCCCGGTGTGCAGGTCTAGTTTGTAGAAGGTCCTGATGTCAAAAGGGTGTTTGCAGGGGGTTATGTCCGAAGACTTTGTCAAGACACGAAAGTCTCGCCATTGGGATGAGTCCGAAAGCGTGAATCGTATCCGAACCAGGAAGCCCCGCGTCTGTGGCGCTTCCGCGCAACTGTCGACGCACGCCGTTGGGTGGGCCGGGTGCACAGTACAGGAGCTCATTTCGGGAGTGTTGGGTTAGGGCCATGCGCGGGGAAGAGCGGCACTGCTGCAGTGCTTTCATATACCACCCTGAGCCCCTGCGCACTAAAGCCCTGCCTTGAAACAGGAAGCCCTGAAAATCAGGAGTGCCAGTGGTAGCAGTGAGGCAGGAAGCTGAAAATTGAACCCTTAAGCAAAAAAGCGCGAACCTTGAACCCTACACCCCCTGCGCAAAGAGAAGTGTAGAGGAGCGGAGCTTCGGGTTTCGGAGCTTCGATCACTTTGGGACTCTCAGGCCGCACCTTGAGCTCCCGGCAGGTGGCTTCGCTAGGGGAGGCTCCGTGTGGTGGTGAAGGGGTTCGCGTGTTCGGGTTGTGGGTTTGGAGCTTACAGAAGCTCTGCAAACAGGGTTTACATAGATCTGTCGGCACCATGGCCCTGCCAAACTTGGCATTTGGCACGCCGCCTCGACTCAGGTCTTTCGGAAGCCATGTTCGCAAAGCTTTGTTGTCGGTGTGCCTGCTCACATCTGCTGTCTCAGGTTTGCCAGGCATAGAGACACACTTTGGTTTCCGTAAATTTGCTTCAGTTGGGACGATAGCGGCTAGAAGAGCTACCTCATCTGCCTCACACAATCTGGCTCAATCTGGCTCGAAAAAAGAGACATGGGGGCTAACTCAGCACTCGCCATATTGACGACGGATCAGACGAACCGCATTCCCAGCAGTCTACTGGATTGTGTGACATGTTGTGGTTGTCAGTGGTCTCGATGTTCTTACCTACTGATTGTCATTTTGACGGGGCCCTTCCTGAACTTGTGTAGACCGAACACTCCCAACAGCAAGCTGGCATAACGTGTGATGCAGTACTCAAGGATTGTTTTGACTCCGCTTGGGGTGCTTGGCATGCTGCTGATGTCGCGCAACAGCAAGCGCCACAAAACCGAGCCTGAGCATCCATCGGAGAGTCTTGGGCAGGAGCGCTTTCTGGGACAGGCCTGCCTCGATATATAGTGGTAGTATCGTACCCTTTTAGAGCCCTTCGGGCACCTTGTAGTGCCCTTATGGTGCCATTGTATAGCTTGCCGCATCTCGTTCTTCAATGTCAATGTTCGGCAGCTGCAGCTCAGATATCAAGTGTGCCCAGATGCCACCGAGCTTTTGCTGAAACTCGTCATCCGTTCTGCAAGCGTTGTCATGATCGCTGTTTGCTCAGCAAGGAATAGCACGAGTTGGGCTTTTGCATGTCCAGCAACCGACACATGATTATGATTGCAAGCATGGTTGGCAGTTGTAAGCACCATTGTCGTTATCATCATCAATATCATCACCTTTGTCCTCATCAGTTGCATTGTCAGCATCAGTGTCATCATAATCATCCTTGTCATCACCATCATCACATATCATCTCCATGTTCATTATCATTTTCGTTGTCATCACCGTTTCATGATCATCTTCAGCTTCAACCTTCGGTTCTTACCTAAGATGCCCGGTTCCCGGCCTTTGGGTTTGTATGCTTTCGGGTTTAGGATTCGGGATGCCGCTGACTTCGGCCTCGGCAGGACTGGATACGCCGAGCCCGGAGCGAGCACATCATTGCCGCCGAGGAGGAGGTGCCGAGGGCGGGGCAAGGTTGGAAACATAGGAGTACAAAGGATCTTGAATACTATGTGAAGGATGTCTTTTCGTTTTTCGCTTAATTGCTTGTTCTTTTCCTTCCTAGCTAGTCAGCTAATTGGTCGTCTTGCTATCATGGATGTAGCTCGAGCTTCAAGGCTTGACCCCATACAACTCGGCTGGTGGTAAACTGCGCAGATTTGATCCTGGCCGACCGGAAAGAATAGGCATGCGGCATGATCCACACAATAGTGTTGGCACTGTAAGCATAGACAGCATTGATAACAGTGGTAATCAGAACAACAACAAACTCAGTAGTCGTGATACTCGTAATAGCAATCCTCGTCATGGCCACCATCATCACCATCATCACCATCATCATCATCATCGTCATCGTCACCGGCATCGTCACCGTCATCGTCATCATCATCGTCCTCGTCCTCCTCCATCCTCCTCCTCCCCATCATCCTCATCCTGATCCCCCTCATCCTCCTCATCCTCCTCCTCATCCTCCTCATCCTCTCATCATCCTCATCCTCATCCTCCTCCTCCTCCTCCTCCTCCTGCTCCTCATGGTCGTCATCAGCATCACAGTCAAGATTTTCGTCATCCTCTCCACTATCACCATCATCAGCACCAGCACCGCCGTCACCATCATTATCGTGATCATCATCATCATCATCGTCATCATCATCAACATCATACACAACATCATTATCATCATCATCATCATCATCATCGCCATGAGCATCTCTGTTGCCATCACGCCATCACCACTATCCTAAACGTCGTCGCCATAATCTCTTCATCGCCAGCATCTATCATCGTGCCGTGTTTGCATGAATGTTGTCTGCCAGGTTACAGCATTGTTCAACTGTTACTCGAGCTGCTCTGATGTTGATGGTCTCGATTTCGCAGCAGGGCCATGGTGCATAGAGTTCACTCCGGCCCATGTGCAGGCCTGCCGCCACCACACTCACCGCCAAAGCGTGGATCCGGAATTTCTGGAGGAGCTGAAGAGAAGGCAATCCGACTGGGTGAGAACTGTGCCGGCAAAGAAGCGGGTTTCATGCATGCACCTGTCCATGTGCAGGCATGCTTCGTAATGCTGTCGAAGCAACAGGCATGCATGTCTCAGATGTCCCCACAAGCCTTTGCTTCCATGCTCTGAAAGGCGGGACGAATACAAAAAGAAGAAGGCAGCTGCAGCTCGGCAACAAGCTTACACCTGCACCTGTCATGATGTTCACACGGTTTTTGCGACGGGGCGCTGTGAGGCCTTGAGCGAATAGGGGCAACCATTTCATTCCCCCCACCCGCCTGAAACCAAGCTAAAAGGCCGACCAGAGCAAAGTGCTCAGCGAGGAACAGATTGCGGAAGTCTTCGGCCCTGAGGTGGGAGAGTAAAGGGATCGCAGTGACTCACTGGCTTCGACGTGTGAACTAAGGAGTTCTTGAGCTTCGGGGCCGGCTAGGTTCCTTTGATACTGGTGCTACCACCATGAGTTCGATCCCCAGAGTCTGAAGTCTGAGAAGGTCCGAAGCTGGAATCGAGCTGCCTTCGAAGATACATACTGTGGTAGCTATGAAATCCCAGATCCACTCTTCCCACTTTTTTTCTGAAATCGCTGTGTGCAGTAATCCAAACAAATCCGCGAGCCCTTGTAACCAGGTGCTAGGGAATGTGCTGTGCGGACTAGCCTCGAAGAAGGTTTAGGGTTTCGGGTTTGAGGTTTGGGGTTTAGGTTTCAGGGTTTGGGATTTGGGGTTTAGGGGTGGTTTAGGGTTTCTTGTTTAGGGTTTAGGGGTTTAGGGTTTGCGCGCCAGTCAGCTTCATCTTGCCTTCCCAGGCAAGCCAGCCGAGCCACAAACTGTATAGCCTCAACAGCTACGAAAACTTAGGGACATTTGACATTGCATGTTGAAGTTGTGCTGTATGTTCTCTCTGTATGCCTTCGTGCCTACGTTCACCAGTGCATCTGGTAGTGTCATGTCACAATTTCTCAACGCATGTGCACATACAACGGCTACTGCCACAGCAAAGCATCAACAACAACAACAACAACTACTACTACTACTACTACTACTCCTCCTCTACTACCACCACTACTACTACTAC